AGAAAGACACATATGGATAATTCACATTGAATTGGCATGTCATCGGTCGTGAGTCACCGTGTTGCGGCTAACTTAGCCATACTGTTCTTGAAGCCCCAAAGTTTCACAGCTCTTCATCACAATCCGCAGAGGATGTTGTAGCCTCTCTATATCTCACAAATGACTCCCAGGACGCATCGTCTATTAAAATCTCTCCACCTCTAGCTTTACTTTGGATGTGAAGCATAGAATAGTTCTCGCCATTCCACTCATTAGTCGCAGGATAGAATATAGCGTAGAGTTTCTTCTTCTCTTTATTTTTTAACCTTGACCTTATTGGGGCTGGACGAACGATGCCCTCATACGTGCAATATCTGCTATCATCGGAAGGATCTTTCATTTTGTGCAAACATGGTAACCCAGCAACTCCAAAGAATTCAAGAAATGCGCGCTAGAGGTCACGTGCACAGAGCTGGAAATAAACCCCCCAGGATGATTTGCGCTGGTAGAATTTAATTAACTTCGATTTCCTTTATCATCAGCAAATTGAGATTGGGCCTGCCGCTTAGTTTCTACCGTCTAAATTTCTTGTTGTGCAGTTAATTGCGTTTTGCCTCTCGCGCGTTATGTCAACGCGTTATGGATGACGGTATGTTCAACGCTTACGCGTTTTTCGCGTTTTGAGCTCTAAAATCGTCTATTTCGCGTTGCGTTATGCGTTATGCGTTCTACACTAGCGTTTTACACAACACGGGAGTAGTACGCCACCAACTCACGAGATCATATCGCGCTCGCCATGAGAAATAGCGCACGTCTGCGAGACACGTGAATACACGTGACGTGACGTCCGCAGTGACGTGACGCTATTCCTGCCTCGCCTTCCTTCGTTCGCTCTCATTCGCTCTTTCCAACCTTCCTCAAGGTTGTTGCGTTCTAACAATCAACTACGGGTGAAACTTCATTGTTCAGCGCTTGCCTAGCTTGGCCTTCCTAGTTGGTTTCGAGCTTTGTGAACAGACGGACGTTGTGAGCAGGAGCCAAGGAAAATATGGGAGGATCGGATCCTGAGGATCAACTGGTAACTCGTCACTGTGAATTCGCGGCTTGAAGCGCTCACAAGCAGTGCAAATAGCCTGATTTGAATTCCAACATACGCGGAAGTTGGAGCTTATGGATTTGACAGCAGTAGTGAAGTCGCTCTTCGCGCGTATCCCGGCTTCGGCCTCTAGCACCTCGGTAACTGAAGCTTTGAGGGAGGGCAGCTCTGCCAAGATCTGTTTCTGGCTTCGTAAGCTCACCACCGGGTATAGAGGGGTCCTACATGGTGGGACAGCGGGACGACTTTCCAAAGGTGGCGGCGCTGGCGCCTTAGGTGAGTCTTTGTGGGGATCGATGATGGTACCGCATCCTGTTGGCAAGGGGAACTCAATGAGAGAGATTCTTGTAAAAAGGCTGGTGTAGGGTCAGAACCTATAGGAGCGAACGATTATTGCCCTGGCGGGGAAGGAAGTACGGGGAGTGGAGTTTTCGATAGGGGGATCCTCGGCCCGAGGTCTCTTGCCAAATATATTGAGTAAACTTACAGTTCCCGGAGGTGGGCGTGCCCTGACTGGATTTCCAGGATGGGAATTAGCAATGTGCCACTCGAGATTATCTTTTCGCATTGGCTTCGCATCACAGTAATAGCAACGGACAAGATCTTTTGAGGGAGGGTTATACATTACTTAAGGACTCCATTGCGGCTAAACCTCCGCGAACTGTGAGGCTCGCGGATTCTCTAATCCCCATGGTGTAAAATTATGGGCAGCCCATAATGAGCCCCATAATATAAGGAGCCGCGCGTCACCGTGACGCCGTCACGGGTTCGCGTGGTGTTTTACGAACTTCGTGACACACCATGTGCACAAATTGTGACGCCCAATGGAGCTAGCATGCTTGATTCGATCAAATTGGTTGTGGACTAGGAATTGAGATGCATGTTGCATTTCTGGGTTAGAGACCTTGGCCAGTAGCGTACAGTCTAACATGGTCATACGTGGTCGTAACATGGTCACATTGGCGTTGCTAGGCGACTCGTAAGTTTGTCTCTATGAGGCAAAGTAGACAGCCCGCGGCAGGCTGCCCGCCTACTTTAGGGTAGTCCTGGATATTTTTAGGGAGGCTCTCGAAGGTTTCCTACGAGTTCTCAGGCTTCCTCAAATTTCGTTCCTTCTTCAGCAACATGTGTAGCCGACCACGTATAGTTTTTCCAACACTGTTCGAGCGAGCGAGCGAACGAGATTCGTGCATACGCGCGCGAACAGCCACGCATTGTGCGTTACCTTATTCCAGTTAGGAACGTGAGCATGCGTGCATGGCATTCATTGTAGTCAAGTGAACTAGACTATTCGTCTTATCATTTCATTTCTCTAGTCTAGGCTTATTGATATTCAAGATAGTTCGAGTTTGATCCAACGGTTACCCTTGCGTTCCATATAAGGGGCGTATTTTTCGTGAGATCGTTAACGAGAAACACGGATTTTTTGAATTTGCCTAAGAAAAAAATACGTTCCTTATGGCCGACAACGGATCCGATTCCTCCAATATACGTATTAGGATCATCCGTGAGCCAAGGTTTATTTCTCGTAGTTAATATTCGATCTGAGATGATCATATACCCTGCTCTGCTTTCCTCTCTATTATCAGGTGTAGTGGGATCTCTCATGAGGGTTCCTATATCATTTGAGAAGGCGACGAAAGAAGCTGATGTGTACGTTCTGGTTGGAAAAGTAACATTTGGTAGCCAAAATGTCTATGGTCTTATTGACACCGGCGCCGCCGAGACGTTCTTCTTCTGGAAGCATTGGTATGAGAAGGGTCATCCAGGGCGGTGCAAGGACATCATCTTCGGTTGTTATGAATGCAGCCCTGAGCCTTGCAGTGAGGGAAAACGTTATACACTACATTACGGAGATGGATCCGAAGTAAGTATCTTCAAGGAATCTGCAACGGCCCATTTCGGCCAAGCTGGCAGTGCCACTATTACATTCGGTCTGGTTGCTAAATACGAGTGCGATCTCGATGAGCCAGTCCCTCATGCCAGTTTTGGATTGGCACCACAAGATGATCCAAACTCACCATATGTTCCGATAATAGAACAACTTCTCTCACAGAAGCTTATCGAGAGTAGTGTCTTCTCGATCTACCTCAGGCATGATGGCACTAATAAAAGAGGGGAGCTCATTCTCGGTGGATCAGATCCTAGTATTTATCGAGGTCCGTTGGTCTATGTATCGGTTACTCAGCCCAAGTTTGTTCGAGTTACTGGCTTCTCCATTGGAGGTGGAACGTATCCTGTGATGGCTGTGAACGATCTTAGTGACCTTGATACTGGAACAGAGTACATATTCATCCCTGTCCGTAGGTATGCTCTTCCTACCCTCATAAAAGATCTTGAGGCTCGATCAAGCGACAAGGTGACGATTACCCAAGAGGGTTCTAAGCTTATCGTCGAATGTAATCAACGGCAAAACCTTCCTTCGGTGAACTTCCTTTTAAAGGGTGTTGATGGTTCGAACGTTGAGGTGAAGATCCCCCCAGATGCATATGTGGATATTAGAACGGATGCCGAGGAGAAAACTTTTTGTCGCATACTTCTTGAAGTGTCTGATGATGATGTATGGGGTATTGGTTACCCTAGCCTCATGGGACGTTATTTCTTGTATGATTGGAAGAATAGTAAGATAGGTATTAGTGAACTCAAGTAGAAATATTTTTCGAGAGTGAGATAAAATAGACTATAGGAATGCGTATCGGCACATGCGGGAATTGATTATTTCACACAGGAATCAGTCATTAGTTCTTCAATCATTCATTGACCCTCCCATCTTTCATTGTTGTGTTGCACCAGTGCGTCCAAATAATATCGAATTATGTTTACCTCGTGCGATAACGGATCGAGTATCCATAGCTTCTACACTTTTTCAGCGCCTGTTCCAAAAATTGTATTTCCTATTTGGACGGGCGGGTGAAATAGAATTCAAGACACTCTTTTAGGAACTTCAATTTCGATAAGGAGCGATAAGAAGAACTTCAATTTTAATACTAGTTGGCCGTATTAGTAAAGCGAGTTCCTCGTTCCCCCTACCGAATGAGAGTCCTACTACATCTCACATTGAACTGACCAAGAATTCCGCCAAGCTGCAATCTCGGTGTGCGAATCATGGAAAATTGGTTCATTCCAAGCAAAGACTGTGAGAGCAGTACCAAGCGCAATGTGCTTGGTATGAAAAGTACGTATGGAAGCTTCGCCGTTAAAATGAAGTCTGTTACATACCGCGTCTACTACATGTTTTCGTTGCCAAAGGGAGCATAATCAAGGCTCATGCGTGCTCCGTCCTTCGAAGCCGCGACACCTGGTATATCCCTCAGTCAACTCGGAGCTGAACAGTTCGACACATATCATGGACCTTTTTTTACGCTCATTTCACCACGGGATGTTCTATCAGGAATGGCGGTTGGCATGAAACAGTATTGATATCCGTTATCACAGTATTGAGAGTTACACTATCATTATGATAGTGTAACTCTCATTACTGTATGATAGTATCATACACAGGTCACAAGCTGCAGACTTTGGGATCCAACTCACACAAATCACCAGTGATCAGCCACTGGCCAGATTAAACCGGAGAGCTTCCTTGAGGTGTACAGAATACTCATTCTACAGATGATTCCTCCTGTACTCCTTACTTCGCTCTTCGGATGAACAAAGAATTATGTTCCCTTCATTCTGCCAAGCGACGCTCGGAATAGATTCATTCCGGAGCTGCATCGACGAGCAGCTTGGGCTCACCGAGGTTGCTTCGTCACTGTTTGCTTCGTCGTCTGTCGGCAATCCTCTGCAAAAGTTCACCATGCCTGGCATGCATGACAAGACAGAAAAGTTTGAGAAACAATCTTGTCGACATAATCACCGCTATCTTTCCCAGAGCGAGTCCACATTCAATAGATATATAATCATTAAGACCCTACATACCATCATGGCTAGCATACCCGCTTCGGAGATGTTTCCAGGTCCTCCAAAGGTCGCTTGCTACACGATGAGGGTGAGGATGACAGAGAGGTACGACCCTAAGATAGCTGAAGCGATGATAAAGCTTCTAATCAATCAGCACGAACGTAGACTCACTGAAAGACTAACTGTAATCGATTAGACGTCCTTCCAGGCGTGGGGGGACTCAACCCAACCGACTTGGCCTTGGCCCTGGCTTTGGCCCTCGCCTTCGGCAGTGATTTCCATTGAATAGCAGCCTTGAACGCGGCTTGAGACTTGGGCTCCGCGAAGAAAGACGTCTCGCGAGTTGCTGTAGGTGGGGTTTGCAAGTGATCAGACTCAGTCTCAGCTGGGTGATCTGTTGCGCTCTCCACTGACTCAGCAGACGAGTCCCGGATTTTAAATTCAGCCTCCTGAAACAACCATACTCTATAGTATAGAGTCTATATTATATGGAGTATTTACAGAATGGATTACATGTCCGTCGGATATGTAACCCATTCCGGAAATACTTAGAGTCAAATCATTTGACGGTCAAATTTCGACCTGCCCGTGCTGTAGCAATAACGTCATTAACCGCCCGGTACCCTACTACATGGACCTTTTTCAACGATTCGATAGGCGCGCTGAGGGCTTCAATCTGCAAATTCTGGGTATCCTGGAGGTAAGACACGTTAGCGTGTCTTACCGACAAGTTGTCGCCGGGATACGCGGAAGCTGCTGCTCCCATGGATAATGTTCTCTCTACCGTTATCGATGAGCACTGTGCTCAGAATATGGTTGACATTACCAATATGGCTCGGCGTAACTCTGATAAGCTATCGCTGACTGTTTATTTATGGGAGAATGATGGTCAAGCTATGATTGGGATATGTGGAACAATCCTCGATCGATCGGTTGGGTATTTTCGATCTAGTCCACTAACCGTGACTAAACTGGGATCACTGGATAGTGAGTATTCTGTCATTCAGAAGCATAGTGGTGGCATACTGGATCTCCGTTCCACTCTGGATCTACTTCGTGCGAGTAAGTGAATGCGCTAAGGCAGAGGAGCGGCAATCAATCGATCATGCTCATTATTTCCTCAGATGAGCTGACTGTGAGCGCTATCATATGTCCGTCCGAGCTGCAGACTCTGTTGGAAGGGACTAAATTAGTTGTAGGAACTAAGGCCCTTAGTTCCTACAAGAACGTCATCAAAAGTCTGTGCTAATATGGTCATGTCGATCGACTCGAAGCCACCATTCGCGAGTCAACTGATGTCTCTAACATGTCTATTCAATTGCATCAATGTGTTGATGGAAGTTGGCCGGGTCGACCTGTTGAGCTACTGGCGAGTCCGTCTGAGACGTTGACTGGTACAAAGATACTGTACATTGGAGTTGCAAAACTACGCAGAACATTACATGTAAATATTACGCATTCCAAGCACGAGATCTACACGAAAGTATCTTCTCCCAATCACAGAAGGAGGGATCACTAGAAACTCGTGGGCCAATACCTCTCTGGGCACATCCAGCTAATAAAAAAATTAGAGAGTACACGGCATCCCTCGACTGCCCTGCATGGTTCCAGTTTAGTCGCTGAACTTGGAGCCGCGGTGTTACTTTTGCGTCAGCGCGCATTATAAAACGCTGAAGCAAAGTATTGACTGACCTTTCGCAATATTTCACGCAATACAAGTTTTACTGCGTGAAATTTAGCGAAATAGCCATGGTGTCACTGTAAAATCATGTTCTCAATGAGCGTAGTGGGATGGAATCCATCCGACTAATGTTTCAAAACATGCGTACTACGCGATTTATATGTTGAAGTTTTGCATCCGGTACTGACAGTACCGTACTGTCTAGGTATAATTACTCGTGGGGGCGGTTCTCGATGAGGCGACGGTGACGCGATGACAAGGGGATAACGGATAGGTTGGAACGTTCTCGAAACGGTTCAGTGCGCCTGTAGTTATTGCACGGAGGGAGCCAGGCAGTCAAATCGTGTAACCAAAAGAAGTATTTGAATTGATCGGATTACTAAATGGAACAGCGGAATCGCGCAGAACCGGATAGCAACACGCATGTGCTCCGGTAAGGAACGCACGTAGGGGCGTCACGGAAAGCGTTATAATAAAGAATTCGTAGGCGAAATATATTCCCCCGTACTTCAGAAAGAATCCTCTTGTCTTCAGTCGATCAGCAAATCCCTATCATGTGGTTCACCGCCGGGACTCTCCACTTCATTCTTATGGCTCAAGCTATCGCTGGAGGATCGGATCGTAATGGCCAACTCAAGAATATCGACCAGGCATTCCACGACTTCATGACACGGTGAGATGATCCGTTTCCTTCAGCATCTACTATATGACATCTGTCTCTCCTATCACCTATCACAATTCTTGAAGATACAATAAGAAGTATGAGACGGATGAGCAGTACCAGGTTGCAAAGGCTGCTTTTGCTGAAAACATGAGGGAGATAGAAGAATTGAGAGCGAACGGTGAGCGACGGAAGCTTCTATTCCTCATATGTTCATTATGTAGACGATATAACCCATGAAGTCGGTCTGAACGAGCATGCAGATCTGCCACCTGAAGTATTCGATAGAGTGCTCCAGTGCGCAGGAGATCCGCAATCCAAAGGGAACTTGCGATCAGTCAATGCGACTTGTAGGGTCACTCTCATCTTGTTACACTGAAGCGGCTCCAGTGCAGTCAAAAATGCCCCTCAGACTTACAAGATCCCATCATGGATCCTCCTCCGTCGATTGATTGGGAAGCCGCTGGCGCTTTGGCTCCAGTCAGGAAAGCAGGCTGTGGTGACTGCTACGCCATAGGCGCTGCCAGTAAGTTTCTGGTGGATTTGGTTACTTCGTAGATTTCGGTGCTTCTCATTATCACAACCGTCGGTGTTTCCTTCAGCCGTCATGGAGAGCCGTTTCATGATACAAACCGAAATTACTAAAGTGGTCCCATTCTCAGTTCAACAGATAGTTGACTGTAGTGGATCCTACGGAAATGAGTGAGATAGCACTCAGTTATTCGAACGAGTCGGATTAGCATTCTATGATCTGAGCTTTTCCTCAGTGGCTGCGATGGAGGCTACTCCAAGAACTCATATCAGTATGCGAAGTACGAAGGCATTGTGCGAGAAAGAATCTATCCCTATATGGGTAAGACCGGCAAGTGTAAGAAGATCACTACGGATACGAAGGAGCAGTGTCTCAAGGTGAGTATGTCTCAACAACTCAACTCAGTGCTGATTACGATCAGCCTGATGATATTGAAAAAATCGTGAGCTTACCGGCAGCCAGAGAGGATCTAATGATGCACGCTGTGGCTACCGGGCCCGTGGCGGTTGAATTGTATGGTCGGGCCCCGTCATTCAAACATTACACGGGAGGGATTATCACAAGTGAGAGTACACGCGCCTAGAAGCGAAACATGTCTTCGTTAAACTTCGTAGCCAAGAGCTGTGGAGTCGCTCCCGTAAGTCATATGGTAACTATCGTGGGTTACAACACTTCCTCGAAGGGAGTTCGGTGAGATTGAATTATCAACGTAGCACTCTTTGTTCATTTATCTATATGCTAGGTATTGGAAGATTCTCAACAACTGGGGGAAAAGTTGGGGACTGGGAGGTTTCGCTTACATTGAACGAACCGGCAACGAACCAGGTAACGTATAGTCACAATTGGCCGTGAGTGTTCTTGTTACTATCATAGCGACTATGTACGGTTCACGGTTCATAGTTACTGGATATTTTGTACTATCGAATGATTCTATCTGATTCTAGATTCTATTAGAATCTATAGGTCCATGTAATATCCTCTCCGTAGCGGAGTACTACCCAACGTTCCGCCCTACCATTGGAAGCTCTCCTTGTGCTGGAAGTCGTTGAAGGAGCTTCATGTGCGGAGTGTCGAAACAAGTGCTCGCGTATGATGTGACGCATCATCATGCCACCTCTGTGCTACTCATGTCCATCTCTTGTTTCGTTGTAACACTATGGAATCCATAGTATGGATTTCACTATTTTTCCCATACCGTATTCTTCATCGTATGAGTCCCATTATGGGACTCCCATAGCACCCAATAGTATAGTGCTGTGTCCTCTCCGATCTTTGTCCGTGACATTCTGGTATTCGTCTCGAGATGAGGTTCAGTCTTCTATTCGCGTCTTTCCTGACGAGTCGGAATTGGTATGAATTGAGTTGAAACTTCAATAACCACCGAGAAAAAGCCCATCATAGATAGCTGCGGCCGCTATCAGTCAGCTTTGCTCAGAGTTGAGGAGTTCTTCTCCCTCTCGCATTCCTCCGTCTGTTCATTCGCTTTTTCCAATTTTGATCAAGGTTACTGTGATGCGGCAAATAATTGAACGTATTCATTAGCCTCAGCTGAATACCTATCGCAGTTTTACAGTCTCTCGTACTGTATAGATCCTTCCAATGGTAGGGCCTGATGCGCTCCTACAAAATCTCTTCTCGAACATGTCGGAAGCTGATCTAGCTCTTCAAGCTAGCTGGCAAGTATGCACCTCCTTGCTCCCCACGTGGAATACAGAAGGAGCGGTATAGCATGCTCACTTTAGAATAATAAGCTCCCTGTGCATCCCGAACTGGCATTTGTCCCGACACAAAAGGCCGTCGCTGGCGAAGCCGCCAAACTTTGGCGGCCAAAGTGAGTACAAGCCGTCTACTTTAATGACCTCATCACTATACTATACAGTACAGTTTATATATGCAACTTGTGTCAACTTGTGTTGGCAGAGTCTCTATATCTCTCTTCAGAACTGGTGAGTAATGTTGTATATGAACGTTGATGGGATAATCTATTCAGATACTGCATTCGGCGTAGGTTTTGTGGACGGAGTGCATCTACTGCGAGATCAGCTCATTTGGAGATATTCTTGGTAACTGCTAGGATTAACAAGGGTACGTGATTCTGTAGTCTAGTATATCTATTTTCTATCTCAGGTTGATCAGTGGAATGAGTTGGAACTGTCCTGAGACTGTCGTCACTAGTGATGGTTTAATGAGAGAGATTATTTATCTATTTTTACGGTAGCGCGTCCATGGTTAGTTGGATGCCACTCTGTCGCCCCGAGAAAGCATAAGAAGCATTGTTGCCGGAGCTCTTGGCTATAGCTTTTTCATCACAAATGGTGAGTGATGTTGAATATGAGCGTTGATGGGATAATCTATTCAGATACTGCATTCGGCGTAGGTTTTATGGACGGAGTGCATCTACTGCATCACTGGAGACTAGCGACCATGTACGCACTCGCAGTATGGTAGGTACCTCACTGAGGTGACCTCAATAGTGCTCAGCTATTGTAGCTGCTACAAGTAGCTGTCTCGGTGATTGGTAGAGAAAAATCTGTACGTTCCTCAATATGCTCCTCATGCAAATTGCATGATGCAATCCCTAATAGTAACTCTATGAAGGCACTCTAGTGGTGCCCGCCGGGCACTGCCCGGGAGTGAATATTGTGTGCGGAGGGCTGTAGAGTTCATATTTAGTAATTCTGTACGTGTTGCAATACAATATGATACAATATGAACATATATTGAACGTCCCATGAACGTGACTTTCAGGAGATATGATCAAGTCCCACCCTACAATAACGAGCTCCTAAGGCATATATTTGATGGTTTGGATGATTTAGTGTTAGATTACTGTCGTTCTGATTATTGTGTCTTGAAAACGTGCAACTGGGCAACTCAACTCATGCAGTTAAAGACCAATGTAAACTCGCAAGAGCCACCTATCCAGACTCAGTTGGACATATGTGTATGTGCGCAGCTGCCGAATGCATGCAAATCACATAACCGTATGAATCTAACACTCAAACCCCAGAGGCACGAGTAGAAGACTGGCCATAGCTCGGCCCGAGCAAAACATGCGTGTCCACAACGACGGTGGTAACACAATTACACGCGGGCGCCGTAAGCGGTACATAGACAGCGGTGATTACACAGTAAGCGGACCGCTTAAAGCGGTACACGCGGACATTCCAGTCAACTCTCAATTCGAAGTTAAGTTTGGAAGTTGATTGAAATAGGGAGGAGTGTACTCGCTATCTCCCATCCAGGGCTCTTCATGTGCACTTCGGTATAAGTTAAATGAAGAAAATACGCGAATGGAGATAAATAAAAGGCTGAAACGTATGAGATTCAGCTGGAGAAATATGACTAACTGAGAAAAGTCATGAATCATGACTCATGCTGTGAGCCAACTACTAAACTGGCTCGACGTAATATATACTGTTCTCTATACCAGTTTCCCCCACTGCAAGCTTTATCATACCATGATCACCCCATTCCTCATTCCAAGAGTTCACCGCCAACCAATAATCTTGCCCGGACTCAACTCCCCAACCAATAATTTTAAGACTATGAACACCCACGAGGCCACCAGTTGTGTGCACGTAGACACCAGACTTGTAGAGTCGGAAATCCTCATACATAGAAATCACCCCGAGAACCTGAAATTTAGAGCCTCTATAATAGAGGCGATCCGCTCAGGCTACCAGCGACATCATCCGAGAGAAATCTAAATTCTCAGTCGCAAAGTCGAGTTCGGTTTTCTTGAATAACACAAATAGTAGAGATATCATCCAAGTTTGATGATCAAACTCAATCTAGTTTATCAGATCATTATTAGAGAGGCTAGCTTCATCGCCACTGCTAGAACTCAGTATCGAAATCACGTGAACTCCGTAGTTAAGCTACGGTAGCCTACGGTTCCATTATCGAATATCTCTTGCTTGATCTTCTGAGGAGATGTTGGTAGACGGCCCCAGCTCTTAGCACGGTGAAGATCTCTAACATAGAGTGATTATGAAGTCTCCATCTGGTGTGCTCCTACTGCTGCAGGCTGGTCTTGTATGACTCATTGATGCATTCAGTTTGGCATGCAGGCTGGGAGAGAGCCTCCTACGACCAGAGAATCCACCACCATGTGATGACGCCACGAGGAACGCTATGTTACACTTACTGACGGACATTTGGGATATTGGCTAGCCGCTGAGCTTGCATGATTG